GCACGATTTTAGTTTTCCCTTAAGGACATGCCTCTGCCAATCAAAATAAAAACTTCACTCTGAGAGGTTACATTCTGAGAATTATAGAAAGGGAAGAGCAATGTACATCACAAAACAATTCTGAGAATGAAAGGCAAGGAAGGAAACTAATATTTTTAGAACATTTGCCACATTCCAGACATTTTGTACATTATCTTATTTCATCCTCGCAATAAGCCTATGAAGAGGCAGGCATCAGTAAATCCATTTACAAATGAGGAAGTGCAGGCTTAGCTCAGAGACAATAGGTAGTTTCTACCTAAGGTAGCGACTCATGTCAACCCGTGCATGTCAGAGTAGAACTGTGCTGCATAGGGTTTTCTATGGCTGATTCTTTGAAAGTAGATTGCTAGGCCTTTCTTCCTAGGCACCTCTGGATGGACTGGAACTTCCAACCTTTCATTTAGCAGCCAAGTGCACTAACCATTTGCACCATGAGCTGGAGTCAACTGGACACAACTGGACGTAACTTTTTTCTTTTTTTAAACCTCAGGTAGCAGAGCTGTTAATTCAAACTCAGTCTATCAGATTCTACTTCGCCATTCACAGAAAATCCCCATCAGCAAATTATGGAAATGTTCCATAGAACTAAACAAAATACTTTCTTCTGATTATGAGGGGGACTAACATAACCTGATCATTAAATAGTCACTCCACTTTATTTCACTAATATAGGCCTTTGTCTTGTTTCAATGTTTATATGGAAACATAACTATAAAGTGATAGAGCTGAGACTAGAACCGAGATGCTCTGGCTCCAGAGCCTAACGGCACCCATATTACACCCTTTCCTCTTGGAGGAGAGCCAAGTAATGCTGACTGAGAGTGTGGGAGGCAGAGAGGAAAAAGGTCACACAGAACTTCTTCTAGGAGCAAAGAGTTGGGCACGGACAGTTTTTAGACACTGATGAAATTTTACAGAACAAACTATTTGTGGGACTTTGGGCAAACCTTTACTAGACCTCAGCTTCCTCATCTGTAAAACGAGGAGAGTGGCAACGTGTCCTCCAAGGTGTCAACATTTTGGGATTCTATGAAATAATGCAGGGGTCAGCAAACTTTTTCTGTAAAGGGTCAGACAGTAAATATTTCAGGCTTTGCAGGCCACAGGGTCTCTGTCCCACTTCCATGTACTCAACTCTACCTTTGCGGCACAAAAGCAGACAAAGGCAATACATAGACAAATTAGCAAAGCTATTAGCTGCTTCAATGAAACTTTCATTTACAAAACTTTTATTTATAGGCAGCAGGTTGGTTTTGGCAGATCGGCTATGATTGCTGACCTCTTATCTAATCTGTCGTTGTTGTTGTTAGGTACCCTCAAGTCCCCTTTGACTCATAGGGACCCCAGGTAGCAATGAGTTTACTGATGTCTGCCACTAGGTTGTAATCTTTACAGAAGGCGACTGCTAGGTTTTTTTCCCCCGCAGAGCCACTGAGTGGGTTCAAACTGCCAACCTTTGGGTTAGCAGCCTAGTGCTTAACCATTTGTGTCAGCAGGGCTGCTTTATCTAATCTGATACTAAATTCTGTTTGTAAAAGTTCAGGGCCAGATATATTTTAGGCTTGCAGGCTATAAGGCTTCTGTCACAGCTACTGGACTCTGTCATTGTAATGCAAAAGCAGCCATAGAGAATACATAAATGAATGGGCATGGATGTGTTCCAATAAAACTGTATTCACAAAAACAGGCCTCTAAATTTGCTAACCCCTAGATTAACAGAATGTGTGGGCTAAACTACACTTAACGGTATAATTACCTTATTGAAGCTGACTTACTCTGAGTTAAACTCCTATTTGGGGGTAGAGTTAAAAATGGATAGCCTAAGAATCCAAAAGAGCTGAATTTGAATGCTGAGATTCACCACTCACTATGCTATATGGCCTGGGGTTAAGTTACTGTAGGCTACTCATTTGCACATCTTGCTTACATCCTGGTGGTTCAAGACATTCTGAAGCCCATCTACCTACCTCTGGTTAAGAATATATCCACTAGCGTGAATTCAGCTCATCATTTCTCAAGTCTGCTAAAAGCCCCAACTCAGGACTAGGGACACTGAAATAAAGGCCTATGACATTACTGAGTTGTAATGTCAGAGGGTGCACTGGGTGAAAAGGTTAATGAAAGTTATTTCTATTATGCTGAAACACATAAAATTACTGATTTTGTAGATCAAAACAGTCAAATATCAGTAACCTCATATGGTTCCAATCTGAAGTTCTTAGAGTTCAAGTAAGTGTTTCTCATTGGCACTGGATCTTCTCTTCTCCCCTGTTGCATCTGCTAAGACAGACCAGGTGGGGTTAGGCCAATGCCTCCACCTTGCTTATTTAGAAAGCAGTCTGACAGTGTTTTTAGAGTTCTTAAAATCTACCTCATATAAATTATTGTATATGCATAAACCAAAACAATGCTATATACAGGACGATGCTCATTTTAGTAAAACAGAAAAGTTAAAAAACAAGAACAAAGAAGGCTATCCTAAATGTCCAAAGACAGGATTGAATAAATAAATTATAATATATTAATATGAAGGAATATTATATAACATTTTAAATGATGAATACGAGTTTCATAGAAAAGAGGTCAGCAAACTGAGTCTGGGGAAAGCTCCCCATTTTTGTTAATATAGTTTTACTGGAGGACAGCTATGCCCATTTGTTTACATACTGTCTAGGGCTGCTTTCACGCTACAAGAGAAGAGGTAAGTAGTTGTGAAAGAAAAAGGCCCACAAAGCCTAAAATATTTACTATTGGGCCCTTTAAGAATGTTTTCTGATCGCTGCCATAGCACAATAAAAGGAGAAAACCTATGACACATGGTTAAGAGGAAAACTATAAAATAGTACTTCCTTTGAATGCAAATTTATAACATTTTTATGAAATACAGTTTTTTAAAAATGAAATGGGACTTTGGATGGATTTTTCTGGGGGGGCGTTACTTATAAAATGAGGACTGTTATTTAACTTTGTGACATTAAATACTTTTTAAATACTTCTATTTCCTAAGAATGAGATTTATAATCTATGGAGTCCTATAAGAGGGACTGATCTATGAGGGATAGTGCAGGTGCTACTACAGGCTGTTAATTTTGGTCAGTCTGGGATTATGATAGCACCTCCTGAAAAATCATTATTTAAATAACATGTTTTGTATTTTGCAAAGCTCTTTCATTTATCAAATATATACTGATCACATAGTAGTTCCTATGCATTGTGCAAGGTGCTAGGCATGCAGGCACACAAGTATTAATGTGGTGACAGCCTCTAAAAAATTAGAATTCAATGAAATAAATGTGTAAATAATTCATTGCAACACATGGTGGTTCAGCAAGCTAACCATGCTTGGAGAAGCCAAGAAAACTTCCCTATCAAAACAGAAATCTAGATCACAGCTGAAATAACTTTCCCAAGGAGTTCAGGGCATTCAGGTTAGAAGAAATGGGCCCTATGTTTCTCCTCAGCATGGTTTTACTTACACAGTTGGCACAACTTAGTCATAGTTAAAAGCGTGATGCCTGACTCTAAGTGAACTTCCCCTGAGGGGAACGATGACCTGTTATTTCCAGTGGACAGGAAAAAATATTACTGGAACATAACTGATTTTCCCACAGTTCTTTACCATGCATATTTGTTCAGGGATTCTATACTCATCGTCTATATGATACAATTAGGACCTTCCACTTACCTATCACTCTAAACTTAAAAACATTTTGCAAGTTAATCATAAATCTTAAAAAGTTCAAGAGAGCATAGAGATAATATAGACCTAAGGGGAGGGAAAGAAAAAGAAGCCAAAAGGAGGTAACGGTGGTGGTTGTGTGGCACAGAGGCAATTCCAACTCATAGTGACCCTGCGTGACAGAGTAGAACTGCCCCATAGGGTTTCGCAGGCTAAAACGTTTACGGGAGCAGATAGCCAGGTCTTTTCTCTTGAGGAGCAGCTGGTGGGTTCAAACCACTGATCTTCTGGTTAACAGCCAAGTGCTTAACCACTGCACCACCAGGGTTCCCTAAAGGAGGTGGTAATACTTTAATTTATAACCACAGACTCCTAGAACCAAGCATTCTTCCCAATACTGCACACCACTAATATACTCTGCCTTCCTCACAAAGAGATAGAAAGGTAAACATATAGGTCAACAGCTCTACTGTCAAAAATACTGAGGAGTGATACCCAAAAACTATGCAGCAAAGGCTTAAACCCCAATTTGCAAAGGGCTTCCACATATATTATGAGTCTCAACATAACCCTTGGGATAACAGGCATTATTCTTCTCATGAAGAAACGAAGGCACTGCAAACTTAAATGGAAGAGAGAGGATTCAAATATGGGTTCACATTTTACAAAGTTCATTGCTTATCCACTGTATTCTTTACAAGAAGCCTGGGTGGTCCCAACGGTTAACTGCTTGGCTGCTAACTAAAAGGTTGGTGGTTTCACCCATCCAATCACTCCACGTGAGGAAGACCTGGCAATCCGCTCCCATAAAGTTTACAGCCTAGAAAACCCTATGGGGCAGTTCTTCTGTCACATGGGATCAATATAGTCGAAATTGACTCGACGGCACCACACAACAACAACAAATCCTTTAAAAAGATAAATTCAAGAAGATCAACCGACTCTCATGAGCTGGTTCCAAATCGTCACCCAAGCCCTTTAAGGACTCTAAACTTTCTGGTAGCACTAATGGCCCTCATCCCACTGGTCAGACACCTACCTTACCTTGGCTATTTCTGTCTTTCTACCACTCTTGCTAAGGGTTTTTGATGTAAAGTAAAAAGTAAAGAACCCTATGTACTACAGAACGAAACACTGCCCAGTCCTGCGCCATCCTCACAATCATTGTTATGCTTGAGCCCATTGTTACAGCCACTGGGTCAATCTATCTCGCTGAGGGTCTTCCTCTACTTTACCAAGCATGATGTCCTTCTCCAGAGACTGATCCCTCCTGATAACATGTCCAAAGTATGTAAGATGTAGTCTAGCCATCCTTGCTTCTAAGGAGCATTCTGGTTGTACTTCTTCTAAGACAGATTTGTTCGTTCTTTTGGCAGTTCATGGAATTTACAAAATAGGGATGATAATAACAGACCCCCCGTCATAGGTTGTGTTTTATGTATACCACCCCTTTAATTTTTACAACCACCTTATGAGGCTGTTCTTTCCACAAAACAAGCATCATGAGAAGAGGAATTTTTGTCTACTCAGTACCTAGGAAAGTGTTTGGCACTAGGAAGGAATTCATTATTGAATGAGTGAATAAAATGAATGAATGATAGATAACACAAGGGGCCATAATCTCCTATAAGAGAGAAAGAACTACAAATGCCAAGTTCTGTTCCAATGATAACAAAAGAAATTGAGAAAACACAAAAACTTTATACTTAGTACAAGTGTGGTGCTGACAAGACACTGTTATTCTTGTTGGGTATCGTCCAGTGGATTCCGACTCACATACTCCTCAGAGTAGAAATGCTGTAATCTATACAGGAGCAGAATGCCAGCCCAGGTCTTTCTCCCACGGAGCCAAGACATTACAGAAACCCAAATTCTCGCCTGAATCTGACATTACTTCAGGAATATCCATTTTCCTATACAAACCTCATTTTCCCTATCTGTAAATTTAGGGTGACCTAGAACTTCCAAAAGTTCCCTTCACGTCTCCTAATTCTCCATTTCGTTACATCTCTGGTTTTCTTATTTAACTTCTATAAAGCCAGGTGAAAAAGTCTTAGACACACTCCTTATTTATACACTTAGGATAATCCTAAAAAACTACAACTTTGTTACAACTCAAATCCTGTAAATGTACTAAGGAAACTATCAATTTATCATTTCTGACACATAAAATTCGTGAAATTATTTTCCCTTTTAAAGATTTATTTTAAATTATTCTGTAGTTTTCACCATATTAAATAATTTCCTTTTATGCAGCACCTGAAATTATCTCATAAAAGGTAGGACAGGGCCGTAATGCCATTGTGCAAGACAGCTATAACTTCCAAAAAACAGGCATTTACCAGTCCAGAAACCAAGTACTTGGCACACTGACGAGAGGATCACACACTGTGTCTCAGATACTTTTCGGTTTAAATACTCTCAGAGTATCTGTCATTATTCCTGCTACTGTGAGAAATATTTCTTATGTGATTTGAACATTATCACCAAATAAGTTTTGGCTATACTATTTAAAATGTAGCCAAAAAAATTATTCTAAGAGTTTTCATTTATGTAAACACCAGTCTCTGAAGACTGTCTTGCACAGATGGTATAATTTAAGTTTCCATTCATTGATGCCAATTTTTATTGCAACAAACAGATAATTTCATAAAATTTGAGGAACTGACAAAGCCTAGTACTTAAGTTTAGAAAACTACTAGGATTTAATAACTATTGGTATGCTATTTCAAAATAACCATAAATTGCCATTCTCAAAATTCCCATTCTTCAATTTCTGACTTGTTTTATCAACTATTTAATTATGCCTACCTAGTAATATCGACCAATTACAAAAGAGAATTGGTTGGGATAGTCTCTTAAGGTATTTTTCCTGGATCTCTTACTCAACTACTTTTCACTCTGAGGGGGGAAAATCAATTAAACCTTGTTCCATGGTTTCTCTGATTAATAGAATATTTAGCAAATATTTGAATATCAATTTCATGCAACACACTGGCTAGGATAGGTACAGTTTAATAAAAAGGACTTTGGCCTTTAAATCCCAGTTCTGCCACTTATTTACGTACTCATGAGCAAGGCATTAACTAGTGAGTCTCAATTTCTTCACCTGAAAATAGGAATGATACCTGCTTCACTGGATTGCTATGAAGGATAAAGATGATCCTGACGTTTGTAGAGTTTTTAAGTTAGAAAACCCTAAACAAGTAAATGATATAAACATTACCATCAGTTACCACGGGGGATACAAAGCTATTTGAGACATCATCCACGTCTTCAAAGAACTTATACTGTAACACAAACTCAACCGTGCAGGCGACACTGAGCCCTCTCCTGCCAACTAGTGCTCCCCAAAATGGTATGAAAGATGATTCATTGGAACATTGGAAAGAAAATACTGTAACTTCTATTTCTATTTGTAATATAAAAATAAAATCGAAAATCAACTTCCATTATTATTTAATGTAGAAACCAATGCTCATGTCCCCACTCAGTTCAAATAGCATATGGTCACTTGTTATGTGCAGTGTGCTAAGCTATGAGACGGTGAGACCCCATTATAGCTTATTCCCGTTTCCATGTGCCTGCTTAAACTGACTAACGCACCTAATCTGAATTAAGCTAACTCTCACAAAATGAAAATGTGGCTTAAAACAATCCCTGCAAAAAAGCAAGGATTTGCAGATAATAATGATGCAAACATAAGAAAATGGCAAAGCTTACATTTTCCCTATTCGTAGTCTGAGCTCTGTCAGCTATGCTAAGAAATAAAAAGTTTTTTAAAACATGTTTTGAAATATTTCCATCACTATGATACTCATTTTTCAAACTTTTTCACCAAAAAAGCATAAGTTTTGGTTAAAATTTGTCTATGAAATTGCCACTTCCCTGATGCTAGTTATTTTTCTAAATTCTTGTAAAGCTGTAGCACTTTTGTCTTTAACAAAATGGGCCAAAACCTACTGAAATTCTTTATTAAAAGATTTTAAAACATGTTAGAAAATACTATTTTCAACGTTGAAAATTTACAATAACAAAAATTATGTATTGGTAACAGAGACTCTTACATTGCTTTTGACAACAAAATCATGTGACAATGAAGCATGTTTTGTTTTCAAATGATACAAAATAAATTTTGGAAGGACATGTTTTTGTAACGTTAATAAATGCAGTATCATTCATTTAATCATTTTACTTCACGTTTTATAATAAGCATATTATTATAAATTTATATTATTTTAAAAATTGTACATATATATTGTGGAATATATAATAAAAAAATTTAGAAATCTAAAGTTTAATTCATCAAGATGATTCACCATTACAGGAAAAAGTACCTTGCATGAAGTTGAATGACTAAAGATGAACTGTATATCTGGAGACATTACACTACAGCAATACATAAAAAAAAATGTTTACTCAATTCTTTGCCCTTTTTTTTACTGGAGATATCTACATAAGTGCACATTAACCACTTCCATTTGTTGTCAGATCTGGAGTGTAAGGAAAAGTGGTTATATGGCAACAATGCAGATTTTACTAAATTGATATTTTGCCAAACCCTCCCAAGAGGACCACCTCTTTCCTCAGAAAGAAATAAACTTACTTATGTCAGTTCCAAGCATTAGCTCTAGTTTTTCACCTATTAACTAGACTGAAGCTTTTATTTGAGAAGTTGAATTTTAATGAATTGTGAAACTGCCAGGAAACTGTTACAGTGGTTGCAATGAAATAGCTTTCAGTATTTTACTGAAAGAATTTGTAGCTAGATTTACAAATGAAAATGGAGGGTCAAAAATTTACTTATTCTCAGGGCTGAAAAGAAGTTTAAACCAAAACATACTCTCTTGAGTTAGTTAGGAAAACAGAAATTTATCAATCAGCAAAGTAAACTAAGTCCCTTGGCTCATTCCTTATTTACTCCCTTATTACCTACTCTTAAACTGTGGGGTTTGAAGAAATCTTAGCGTTCATCTACTGCAAACTTTAGCTTGAGTTCCTAACTGTACCTACAGAAATGGGGCATAACCTTACTCATTCCAGGCTAGTTCAAATCATTGGTTCTCCAGGCTTTGGGGAACCACTGATGTGAACTTTACTATTTCCGTTGGTGGACAGCTAATTCAGGTTTTCAATACTTTTGAAAGATAGACTATTACTTTTTTTTTTGAACTTTGAGCCCTATCTTGGGCCTTCATAGACTCACACAAAAATTAAAACATAAATAAATAAACAGAATAAAACTTAAAAGTTTAATTTGTTTTCCACTAAGTCATTCAACAAATACACCTGAGGACGCATGACAGGCTCTAAGGACACAAAGAATCAAGGCCACGATTTACTTATTGAAACAGATCAGTAAAATAACAATGACAGCACAATGATATATTATTCCATTTTCTTTCATTTACAAATATTTATTCAGGTCTATTATTTGTCAGGTATTGTGCTATACAGACAGGATTAAATGGTCAGTAATATAAAAATGACCTCTGCCCCCCTCATGGCATGTCAGGAACAGAGGGGGAGATAAACAAGCAGTTATGACAAAGAACGCTAAGCATTATTATATTGTGGGGCATTCTAACACATATATCTGCAATTTTGTACCCGCCAAGTCTTCTCTTCCAATCAAAACAAATACTTAGATGCTAAGTTACTCAGAGAAACAGAAATAACAAAAAATACAAAATAACTTCAAAAAAGAGAATTTTAATTATATGCTAAAAAACATTCTCATACATATTTGTTTCTTTGGTACTATTTTACCTTCTGAAAATCAGCTTGAAAATATACAACCCTTTTAGAACTCTGGAGGCAGGTAACTAGACAATATTTTTAGCGCAGGGAACCAAAAATGTAAGTATAGCAGCATTCCTGATTTGTGCTTGCAGAAGGCTATAAAATTAATTTTCTGTAACCTGGCATACTTGGGAAAAGACAAGAGAAGTGTGGTTCTTTTTGCAAGGACCTATAAAGTTCTATGTGCACTAGATGCTGAAGGTATACAGGGAAAGACACAAACTTTGAGTATGGAAGATGAAGACGTGTTATCAAATAATCTCATGACAACAGAGTAAGTAAAGATACCTGTAAAATTTAATGGGAACCAAGATAATGGCATTTCTCCCTCTAATGGAGAGTGCTAGGGAGGGTTTCACATAGGAGGTGGGATCAAGGTAGGTCCTGAGTGATGAAGAATTTATCAGGTCCAGAGGTAGGTGTGGCTGTACTATTAAATTATCTTTGTAAGCTATAACATGTCCAGAATAGCACACCAGAACTTCTCTGATGGTATAAATCTCCTGAACTGATAAAGCAACAATAGTAAACTGCTCTCTAGAGAAAGATTCCTCCACTCAGGCCTGGATGCAGGAGAAAAGTCCACCCAGATAGTATAGACTAGGTGTAGCCCCATATTTTAGGCTTACCAAAACTGGTATTGTTGTTACTTGCCGAAGAGTTGATTCCAACTCATGGAGACCCCACGTGAGCAGAGTAGAAGTGGTATTAGTCAGCTCTAAACTCAGGAAGGAGGAAACCAACCCACTGTTTAGCAGGGAAGAGCTAAAAGATAGCAATTAATGTGGATAACAATGTAATTAAAAGAGGTCAATTTGGTCGGGGTGCTTAATTTGAAGTTTACAAAGCTTTTCTTTGAATTTTTGGAACTATCAAGGAAAGGAAAAGATAAATTTTTTTCTTGAACGAAAGGACCTTGGCTTAGAAAATAAAGTGACTTGGAAGGCTCAGGTAAGGGAACCTAAGCTTCAAGTCAATAATTCTCTTAAGATTTCAGCAGGAGCCAATGCAGTACATATTCTAGTCTATTAAACTAACACGACACATACAGACTGGAAATCACCAGAAAAATCTACTCAAACGTGACCCTTAATACCACTAATTCTTTGTGAAATGGCTCTTCTTTTCTTCTTTAGTTCCAAGGAAGACCTTAAGCTTGAATGGCTAACCCTAGTTTTTTTAATTAGAAGTCCTGTGAATTTTAGCAAAATGCCTAATCTGTCTGAGACTTACTTGCCCTATCTATAAAATGCAATTAGTAACACCTACGGGATTTTAGTCAAGCAAAGTACATCAAGTTCTTAGCACAAAGCTTGGCACCTACTCGAAAAGAAAAGAAAGAAATTAACCATCCCATCTTTATGGCCAGGGGTACTGCAAGCCTGTTATCTTCGGAAGAATTATACCCTTCAGCAATTTGGCTTCTGTCAGAGAGCCGTTTTCCTGCTTTGAACATGTCTTCCATAGGACTATCCTTCCACCAATAACTTACATTTGTGCATCTCAAGCGATACTAAAGTGTTTTCTCCTTACCATACGTTCTAGGGTTCCTCGAGGTATTAAGAGAAAGAGAAGGCACTTAGGAAGAGACAATTTATTTTACACTATGAATAAAACAAAACACAAAAAACTCAAATCCTAATTCTGAAAAATCATTTCAATGTAAGAGTATTCAAAAGAGAAAACATTTAACATGTTGCATATCGTTCCTTTTATTAAAAGGCTGCATGGTGAAGCCACTTAGGACTTCGTTTCTTCCAGACATAGATTTTTTCTTTTTCTTGCGTAGTCTCTGGTTGTTCACATTCCAAAATGGTGATTACTGCTTTTCAAGGAATGTTCAGGAGGGCAGCTGCCTTGGAGGTAGGTCACAGGGCTCCTGTGCAATTTACCAGCAAATAAAGACTGCAGAAGAGACTATATCTGCTACAGGCCTCTGCTAGCTGCTAGAGGTTGGTTGGTTGCTGCATGTTGCCGGGCCTCTTAGCCACAAAGTCTGTTCTTGGCTGTAGTTTTAAAAGAGCCCCTCAACAGATGCTCTATTTAACAACTACAAGACAATAAAAACTAGGGTTACAAGCCAATAAGGATCATATTGTCTCTTAATCAACAACGTTCAATTATATTAACTTCTTGTCAGCAAAAAATGCCAGCACTGATGAGAAGCTGGTATTTTTTTAACGCTATTTAAGACATTCATAAAAAGCTGCCATTCTCAAGCTAAACGCTTAAGCAACATGTACTGCACATGTAGCCAACATGCTTACAAAGCACATGCAGACACCCTTGAAATTAACTTCCACTGTATAAACCTAAACTCATTTTGAAATGCATTTAATAAGCAGGCTAAACTCTAGCAACCTGAATACATTACCATGCATATCTCACAAATTCTAAATGTGGGCTCAGTGCTCCTTAGATTCCTATTTCCTGCAACGAGGCTATTTATCCCATTTATAGAACAAGTACCAGGGTTTATCTTTCCTACTGGCTGAGGTGTCTCCCTAATTATGATGAAGACTGAAGAGGTTTAGGACAAAATTTCATAAACTGCAGTCTGAGATTACCCTTACTTTTTTGTATGAAAAATTAACTTTTATTGGGAAAATTCTCCTATTACACCTCCCTCCAAAGACATTCACCACAAAACACAATAAAGATTCTGAGAAGTCCTGAAATAAAGAAAACTATTTAACATGACTTATTAAACTACTGAAGCCCTGATGGTGCAGTGGTTAAGAACTTGGCTGCTAACCAAAAGGATGGCAGTTCAAATCCACCAGCTGCTCCATGGAAACCCCATGGGGCAGTTTTACCCCGTCCTATAGGGTCACTATGAGCCGGAATCCACTCAACAGCAATGAGTTTTTTTGGTTATTAACTAACAGAAAAGAATTCAGAAACAACTTACTAGTTTCAGCTCTAATGCTCACTCTGATCTGTTATTAGTGGTTACCTGTGTAAAAAAATGACAAGTTTTGAATTATAAAAACAAAGAGTTCTCTTACCCATGACACTAAAGGTCATCTTGTTAAATGTTGTTAGAGAACTATGCACTGTAACAAATAATCTTTTAGCTATGGTTTAAACTAAAACCTTTAGAAGTGGTTTGTTTTATTCTACAGAATTGTTTCTAGGTGATCAGTCCCACCGAGATCAGAAAGCCTGGTTTCATTATTCATTGTCACTTCAAACTTATTCTTTCAGAAAAGAACCAAAATTAATAAACATATCCTATTTTCACAACTAATGAACATATCCTGTTTTCAAGACCAATGAACATACCCTGTTTTCAATATTAAATGAATTTATCCTGTTTTCAAAACTTTATAGAGGTCTTGTAACCATGACTCACTGATCTTGTGGTTATCTTGTTAATGTTTAGCAAAGTTTTTATATAAAAAATTTTAATAATATTTGAACACATACTTTTTTTTTTAACGCAAATGTCAACCAATCAGAAATTCTGTTCAAAGTTCCTGATAACTTTGTATAACCAAATCTAAACCCACTGCTGTCGAGCAATTCTGACTCACAGTGGCCCTATACGACGGGGTATTACTGCCCCCATCAGGTTTCCAAGACTGTAAATCTTTATGGAAGCAGACTGCCACATCTTTCTCCCACGGAGCGGGTGGTGGGTCCGAACCGCTGACTGAACTTTTGGTTAGCAGCCGAGAGCTGTAACCATTGAGCCCCCAAGGCTCCTCCAACTTTGTATATAAGCACTTTAAGAATCTTAATTAAATTGGAGCACTCATTCACTAGGTAAATGATATATTGCCCAATCACAAATTGTCTATTATACCTGCATTCATTGCTGTAGAGTCGATTCCGACTCATAATGACCGTATAGGACAGAGCAGAACTGCCCTGTAGGGTTTCCAAGGAGCGGCTGGTGAATTCAAACTGCTGACCTTTTGGTTAGCAGCTGAGCTCTTAACCACTATGCCACATAGCAATCTGTTAATGATGTTCTGAGTTGTTTATTTTTGATACTTGGAACAATCTCTAAAACTTAACAACACAAAGTCACACAACTAATAAGCAATTCCTACCTGGAAGTTGTGTGGACCACTACTGGTCCATTAAACAATTTGGAAAATGCTGATACAGAATGAGGCTATGGTGCTTTCAATACTTGTCCCCAGTTCCCTTTTTCATATTTCACTCTTAATATTTAAGAGATAAGTGAAGGACAAAGGGAAAGGAGGAAGAGGGCTATGTAAAAAACGCAAGGAAGGATAAGTATCTACCAACTAATCATGCATTTTTCCATCATAATTTAGGTATCTAATTTTATGGATTCAGAGATTTTTTTTTTAATGGATTCAATGATTTAAATTTCTATTCTAAAAGTCTGAGAACAATGTTAAGAGTGAAAAACATTCTCTTCTTTCCAGTGAAAATTCTCTGTTCTGAATAGGAGCCAATTTTAAAAACACACAGGGATGAATGACAGGCATGTCCATTTCTCTACAACTGTCATCTTCTCTACTGGAAGACAGATCTAATATGTCAGGGCCTCACATGACTCTCTCTCAAGGGGGTCTTCTTAGAAAAAGAATAAGCAACCCGAGGCAGCACAGTTACTTCAAGGGTGTGAACTGAATTTGAGCCAGTCTTCGCTTAACTGGGTCTTTACCTCTTTGGGTTCAGATCTATTTACGGTACAAATGTCACACCTGAAAAGTTAATTTGTTGTGTGCAAACAGAGCATACTAAAGTGAAAAATCATTCACATAAAACAGTACAGGCAAGTAAGAAGTAGCAGATAAGCAAGCTCAAGCAAGAAACTTACAAGAAAGCTATAATCTCTTTAGTCTCCCTCTTTTTGCTGAATGACTAAACATTTAATTTGCACAAGCCACCAGGAAAAAAAAGGCCTTGCTTATAGAAGGTTAAAAACATTTCAATGGAGCTCACCCAGTTTGTTCCTCAGAGGTGGCAAATCATATATCCCCACAGTTCCCAGTTGCACGAACAACTGACTGATAAAATCAGTGACATCCTAAGAAAAGTTCACAATGGTAAACTGAGTCCTTATGTTGAGATTAAGCATCACTGTGCAAAAAACATACAATAGCCATGCATTAAGGGCTAAACTTCTGACATTTCCCTTCAACTGAAGCACTCTTAAAAGCCTAAAATATTAAAAAAGAAAAAATCCTGATTTTGATGTATTGAATCTTTTTATATATACATATAAAATATATATTCAGCAAACCTATCCTAGCAACAAGTCTTCTAAAAGCCAAATTATTATACCTTAAGAATGAACCCAGAAGATACAGTAAAAAAATGACACAAGATTCTCAAATCCTTTGTCATGGGAACATATGACTGGCATTTCTGGCTGTTCTGACAAGCCTGAAATTCACAAGTTACTAACACATAGAATGGGTAAATAAATACCTTGGTATGGATTTTCCAACACACTGTTCTTGTTTTGAGAAGCAATCTGCTTTAAAAATGCCCACAGCAGTGTTTTTCAGTCACACTGATACTGACAGGCCCCAAACAAAAGCTCAGTAGTCAAGGACATTTGCCTGAGTGTCACCAAATAAAATTTCCCAGCAAACTGAGTCCAGTTTCCCTTCTATACATCTTTTTCAGCCCTTGCGCAGGCTTAATTTTCAAAATTAGAGTTATTTCTCTTAGGCTCCCCTTTCTAGTCAGTTTCTTTAACTCCCTCAAAGAGAGTAAAATGAGAAACAGCAAAAGGTTAGAAAGCCTATTCAATTTGAAGGCGTTCTTTGGAGCTTTGTTTTACATGATTTCCTTTCTTTAGGCAATTTCAGAGAGAGTATTAAATGCTCGATTACTAACTGAAAATTTGGGGTTCTGACCCACCCAGAGACACCTCAGAAGAAAGGCCTAGCAATCTGCTGAAAGGTCACAGCCTTGAAAACTCTATGGAGCACAGTTCTACTCTCACACACATGGGGTCGCCGTGAGTTGGAATCAATTCAATGGTAATAGGTTTGGTGTACTGAGAAGCTTTACACACTGATAATCTAAATAATTAACCCAAGATGGAGTCACTCATGCTGGGCCCATGTCATAAAAGCAGTCTAAATCAAATAAAATCTGTCAATTTCTACTTGTCAGGACCCCACTGATGTCCTGTTTTCAACAAAAAGCAGTTAGAGTGTAAGAGAAATTGTTTAAACCCAAGCCAACTATCCAAGTAGCTAAAGTTTCCTATATGCTTTCTACTATAAAACGTTGACCCTTTTCTTTATTCTATGGAAGGTCCAGTTGGACATTCAGACTGGAGGTTTCTCAATTCGCCAATCTCTAAATAAAGCTTTTGAGTTCTGCAAATTAACTTTGTGAAAAATTTCAACAACATGCTCATTACAGAAAATAAACAAAGTGCATAAAAACAAAGAAGAAAAAATAATCACTTACCTGCCCACTACATAAAGTCAGCCAGGATTAAACATTTTTATATTGTTTTGTTGCGTTTTGTTTTTATATAAGACGTTGGCTGCTTTTCATTTGCAGGTAGTTTTAAGGAATACAGATTTGTTGCAGGGTGCCCAGTATAACCAAACCTAGTCACTGCTATTAAATTTGATAGCCACAGAAACTGGCCTGCATATAGTATTGTCTTTTGTTTGGCCAGCACAGTAGTTTTAAAATAAAACTGAATTTGAATGCCTCTAAGAAAGTTTCCATTTTCCCATAGGTCTAAATACTCTTATTGTTTCACATAGGTTGTTTTAAATGCTAAATTGCCCTCCTGGGTGGGCCCTGAATTCATTTGAGTTTTCAATCCCTTAAAGACTTTGGATAACTGAATGCCGGCCAAAGTTGAGTAGGAAAACAGTACATTTTAAAAAATATATACCCAGTGCTTTCTTCTCAAGTGAAACTATGCAAAACTTCCAGTGTCCAAGCTTTTATCTAGACTGATGTCACACACCAAACAAGATAGACTATCTCCACTCTGTCATAAATTTCTCAAAGTTTTAAAACCAAGGGGAAAAACTCTTAGGAACCCTGTTGTGGAGTGAGTTATGTCCCCCAAAATGATATGTTGAAGTCCTGGTCCCTGTACTTGTGAATGTGAACTTGTTTGGGGAATTTTTTTTTTTCCTTGCAGATATTACCAGTTAGGTTATTGAGGTCATGTTTGATTTAGAAAATAATATTGGAATCATTTATTCCCTCTCCTTGATCATAGAGAATGTGACCCAGCTGGAGCTGGGCTCACAAGGACACATCAGCTGGGCCCTGAGGTATAAAGGCAATAGCTAAGATAATCTTGGAAAATATCTTTTAGGGAACCTTTCACATAAACCATTCAAACAGAACACAAAAGACTTTCCACTCTTATCTTTTTCTATCAACATTTAGTGAACAGAAAATTTGTTGGATGACTGAAATCTGTACCAATGATTGTTAAGAAAGATGATTCAAAATGTAGGATCACAGTTTCTAGCCAATCTGTGAAAAGGTGAAGCTTTCAGTGGTTTTGCCCATTTGTAATGTTAATATATACTGATGACTCTGTAAAGTTCCTTGGACTTCGGCAGACATGGCTGTGGCAGCATGCTTGTCCATTTTCCCACTTTTGTCTATTCTGTGATATTTCCTTGAACTTGGGCAGACATGGCTCTGGCAGCATGGTTGTCCATTTCCCACTTGTGCCTTTTCGAATATATGAAGAATAAAATTTTCCTTTAGCTTTACTAAACTTTGTGATTTTTGCCCCTACAACATGTTCGTACAGTGTGTCCTAATCTCTTCTGAATGGTTTCTTAGAAAAGCAAAGAACTGACAGGGAGATGGGAGCACACACAGGGGGAAGACAGCATCTGTGGATCCATCAAAAAGCCAAGAAATTACTGAGGCTACCACAAGCTGAAAGAGACAAGGGAGGAACTTCCCGTAGAGTCCACAGAAACCATAGCCCTGCCTAGGCCCTGAATTTGGCCTTCTAGCCTCCAGATTGTGAGAAAATAAATTTCTGTTCTTTAAAGCCACCCACTTTGTGGTATTTTGTTACGGCAGCCCTTGGAAACTAAGACAAACCCAAATCATGAAAAATGTTTATTTCTTAGGTGAAGCCTGAATAAAGAAAGTAAGTTCCTAGCAATAGGAACATTCTCAATCACTTCAAAGGGAGAATGATGACGAAGCTGTGTCTGCCTTGTTGAATTGCATGATGTTCAAGGGGGATCAAGAGGTGGAGCAGGAGCCTAACAGAACGCCCAGGCACATGTCAACTGCTGAACAAACTCTAGCAGGAACAGTAAGAAACAATTTGATGAAAGTGTATCTGAAGAGGGCAAAAGGAAGCAAGCGGTAGGGTCTGGGATGAGTCAATGGAGAGAGATTCAGAAATCCAATTGATTTGCAGAATAACAATGTATAGATGGTACATGTACATGACAAAAACTTGCCAGATATGTCTGTAATGGCAAGAGGCTGAGTAGATTATGTTGTCATTTAGATAAGACATTTAAAATTGAATAGCAGACACTGCTTAAGTTTTGATGATTCCTTATTTTCAAAAATAAAATCTTTTAAAAGATACATTCCAAGTCTATATGATAAATTCTCATGTGCTTTACTCAAAATTCTCTCATTAAATAGGTTTGTGTTTTTGTTGAGATAAACACCCTATCCAGCATGATTTCCCCAAAACATTTTAGGAAATACCCTGATTCTTGTGGTAAAATTCTGAAAACTTTTTTGTTAATAAATGTCACCAAAAGAGTTTGACTCTGCTACGATCTAAAGTCAACTCCACGTATCATTTTTCTTTTTTAAAAAAACTCTGCACCTCATCACTCTTTCAGTTGAACTTACTAAAGTTAAGATCAACCTCCCAGAAGTATAAAGACACTTTTTCTGTAGATTCCCTGAGAGAAAGCCTGGGCCTAGCTCTGCTTGAGAACCTTTGGTGACTGGCAATCTTTTCCCACTGCTCATCAGCACTCACTATTCCCTTCTCCATGTGGTATAAAGAGGGCAACCACCTTCTCTTTTTTTCTATTCCCTTAACCAAATTTCCTTGGATCCTTTAAAATTTCCTTTTGAGCTAGTTTCCAGGCTCCTTCCCATACTATTCAAGTCACCCTCCTTAGGGTGGAACCTTCTCACCCATGCCTGTTATTTCCTTCTTTGGGGAGGATGCTTCACTAGCATAACATGCTGGGATTCTCTTATTCCCTATTACTCACTTCACCCCAGGAAAAGCAGAATATCATTTCTGATTGGTAAGTTTGGGAAAGAGAATATTTTGAGTCAGGCTGCCTGAAGAAAGCATTCATTCTGCTTTTCTCCGTGGTTTACAGGAATAGGCTCTCTATAAACAAGAGGCCTGAGGTGGCCACCACTGTCTGAGATTAGGTAGCTAAGTCCAACTATTTCTGGAATTTAATATTAAGAAGACTATTAGTTTCCCCCAGATTTTTCAAATATCTGATATGTTAGCAATGAAGATCATGTTTAGTTCTCTATTTTTTTGGTCTATTTCCTATTGGAGCAGAGAAAATGGAGCAAATGGTGTTATTTTGTTGGGACTCCTCCCCACCCAGTGCCTAACAACACTCATTTGCGTTTTTGACAGTGTGTCAACGTTTTTCTTAAAATGGAAATATATCCATATATATATATTTAAATATATAAAATGTCATGAGCATTCACCTATTTTATGCCTTCTTTTTGTTTTAGAACAAACAGTCTTAAGGGTTAAAAAAATATAAGGAACAACATCATGACAATTTGCTAGCACCTAGTATGCAAGTGCTCAATAAGTACTTACCGACTGTAAGGAAAAAAAAAAGAAAAAGATACAATGACAACAGGAACGGTGCACTAGGTTCATAGTAACAGTTGTGCACCAATTCTATAAGCAAGTAGTTCTCAAACTGAAGGTAAAAAACCTTTGAAGGGTTGTGACAGAGCAACTATAAAAGGTCTTCAAAGCAGACCGAGACTGAATCTATCTACCACATATGCACGACAATTTAAAAAATTCATATAGATACTATTGTGATTTTAAAAAAAATACACAGTATGCAAAGGTGATACTAAAAATATTAAATAACTGGCCTAGCATAGGGTTCGACTAATCAAATGGGTTGCTGGCATGGGATAAAGAATTTAGCTTTACCAAAAGAAAGGTGGCCTTTGGTTCCTGAGAAATAACCCTTGGCATAACTGGACTGGCTTGGTCTGGGAATTCCAGGCCACACCTGAGGATGGGTGCTGGCGAGTGAGGGCTGGCCAGACCAGAAAAGACTCACCTTGGACGCCAATATTAACTAGCCTCCGGAGACATGATTTAGTCCATCATGCAGGACTGGCCAATACAAGCCTGGAACGTGAAGGCTCAGGGAGCTTCCTGGTCAGCAAGGAGAGGGAGATGTGTCCTCTTTGAGGCACCGAAGTTTCACTTGGGAACCCTCCCAGATCTCTCCCACATGTCTCTTTTGTATGACTATCCTGATTTGTATCATTTTGCTACAATAACTCTATAATCATAAGTATAGTACTCTCCATGAGTTCTGTGAGCCATTCTACCGAATTATCAAACCCAAATGAGAAGGGGGAGCCAGTAAGTGAGGGTGTCATGTGGACTTCCAACCATGTTGCTGGCATCTGCCTATTTGGCTGTCTAAAGCACAGTGTCCTTTTAACCTACGGGATCTGCACTAGCCCTAGGAAGCTAGGGTCAGATGCATGGGTAGCTAGTGTCAGAATGATTGAGAAATGGCAAAGTGGGGACTGGATCAGTTTCCCCACATCTTGAGGGTTGGATTCATGCTGATTCTTATCCACAAAGCTGGCCATCAACAGATGGCAGGGACAGACTTGTATCTACCAGCTGAATATCAGACCTGCCAATCCAGGTGAGGGGAGACAACTTTTTTCTCTCTCTCTCTCTTCCTTTGTATCATATTAAAGAGAAGTCCTCATGTTTGGGGAAAAAAAAAATTATTGAGAGCTATTCTAAGATATACAACTGGCATATACTAACGCCATATCCTGGTAACAAATCACCACAAATTTACAAGTTAGGCCTTTGCTAGTACTTTGCCTTTTGTGGTCTTTAGCAGACTCATTTTCCACTCTCCCACGAATCCTTACAATTGGCCGACTATTACCAGATGCTCCAAAGGCTGTAAATCCTATCCCATGAAACGGTCTGTATGTATTTATACTCTATGTTTAATGAGAAACAGCTACTCTCCAGCTTGTGGATTCAATTTATTTGAACCACTTAATACTCTCCTTGTACGAAAAGTTCCAACTTTAGAAGAAACATCTGGGATGGACTGCAATATGTGCTAAACTACTGTATCCCAGTGTATCTGCAATTGGCAGCAGAATGTAAGATTGGAGTTCAATAGTTCTGTCCCAGTGAAAGAAGAAAACAAGCTAGACTGGCCTGGCTACCCTATTACTTTAATTAGCCCAAAGAATAACTCCTATACTCTATCCTTTGTCTTACTTTATTCAAATCAGTTATTCACATTTATATATCTAGTACATTATACAACTTCAGTAAGTCATTTAGGTCAATCTCTCATAGCCAACAGGCAATCATAAGGATAGCATAATAACTCCAAGAAAACAAAATCCATATTCTCTGTATCATTCCTACAGATTCAGTACAAAGCCAAGTAATTAAGGAAACATTTAGAAATAAAGGTTTATTTCATTGTAATAAAGAAAATAAATGAAGAATTTAGTTGTACTTACCAAAATGTGATTTTAAATATAAATGGACTGTACATATTCAAATACAGATCAGCTTGCTTTTTTTGTTGTTGTTGTTGATGTCCACTAAATATGTGAAATTACAAATTTAAATAAGGTAGTAAAAGTATACCACCTAACTTCTCTTGGGAAGAATGGTGTAATTCTGGTTACGTCCTTAACCTAAAATTAAAATTCAGAGGGTCTCCTAATCAAGAGGCCTCAGACATCAAATCACTGAAGATGTAAATGCATTTTCCACAAAACTAACCTTAAAAAAGGCAAACCACTTGTAGTCATTCAACACAATTTCAAAGCCTTGATTGTAAATGATGGTGAAATGGCCGGAATTGCCAAGGTCATCATACGCTGTATCCAGTTTCTGAAGGTGCACCACTACTTTTTTTTCTGGTGGTCCTAAAGAAAGAAAATGCACAACAGAAGAAAATTAGGTATTTGGATTTCAATGGGGTAAAAAAACTCAATAACTCCCATTATTTGATTAAGCTGCTTTCCTTTCATGCGACTCAATTGGGACCACGGGCTGGCTCATTAAGAAATCACTCTCCATCTCGTTGCCTCCACTGGTAGAGTCCAAGAGGGGTCTCAAGCAAGCCTATGAAGTTAGGGCTCTGAAAGATAGAGAGATGCTATGTAGCCTAAGAGGCAGAGAGATCTCAAAGTATAACCCTCACCTTCACCGAACATCTAAATAATGAAGACATTTTCCACATTCAGGAAAAGAAGAGGAGAAAAAGGACATGTTGAAAATCACTGGCAGATATGGGGGAGACAAAATGATAGCAAAAAAGTGTGAAATATGAAAATAACGGATAGCACAGAGATTAAGAAGACTAGCAATCAGATCATAAGGAGAACAAAGCCTTAGGCCCAAGAAAAGACAGGAAATGATCTCTTCAGAGAAGAAATGGGGTACCCTTCTCCTTAATGGAGCCCTGGTGGCGCAGTGGCTAAGCATTTAGCTGCTAACCAAAAGGTCAGCAGTTTGAATCCACCAGCCACTCCTTGGAAACCCTGTGAGGCAGTTCTACTCTGTTCTATAGAGTATCTATGAGTCATCAGCAACCGTTTTGTTTTTTTATTGTTTTTCTCCTTAATAGCTCTACAGTTCATAATCTCAGAATCTGAATCCTTCCAAAGTATGCAGCCTTGAGATTTCCATCCTATAAAACGAATTTGTGCAGATAAGAATTAAACCTTCAACCTTCAGAAGATGGGCGTTCAGATCTATAGGGGCCATTAGTTGCTGTATTAGGGTCAAAAGTATGGTTTATAGACTAGAGGCTGCCTGAAATGGGTTCTGCTGTGCCCATGTGGAGGTTTCCATGCTTTAGACAGTTTTTCTGCCTTTCAGACAAATGTTCTGAAATGGGAGACTACATGTGACAGGACAGTGCAAATCCTGATCTCCCTTCTGTCCGCCCCCACAGGCTCCACTTTAAGAAAATGGTTAAAATTCCCAGGATTATGAAATGCCATAGTCATCTGGAGTTAGCTGAACAGGTCAATGTTAATAAACAAATGAGTTGACAATCTTCATTCTGCTAACAAGGAAATTGTGGCTGAAAGCTTCTCTCATTCTGCACAAGTCACTGGCTGGTAAGGGTTTGGGTAGAACAAGAAGCTGCCTCTTAGGACACCTGGTTATGTGTTTTTCTTCCCCCGTTCACTAGATTCCTTGTCCTTGGTGTAGCCATGGGATCTGAGGGCATATGGAATATCCTGGTGTGTTCAAACATTAGATTTTGATTGAGAGCCTTTCATGAGTTAGCATTGTACTTGGCTCTGGGCATTTCCAAATATAATTAACGGGTAAAGAGTTGCTTAAAAAAAAGCCTTTATATGCCTCCCTGTAACACATGAAACAGTGCAGACTGCTACCACAAGTTTTCTTGGACTAGCAGCATAAACACACGACCAAAACTAAAATCACTGGGTATAAACCGCAACCTAACAAAAGGAGAAAACTTTTCTTGCTATAGCCTGTGTCTTTGAGCTCATTTCTTTTCACCAGCACAATTTAAAAAAAAGCCCGATTGCACTGGGAATTCAAAGATTGCACGTCTCAACTCTACTGCAAACCAAAAAATACATAAATTAAAATAATGATAATAATTCTTGAGAAACGTGTCGGAGCACCTGGATAACCAAGAAAACGTGAAGTCAGAAGTTCAGAGCGGCTCAACTTTTACTTCGCGGCTCTGGCGGTGGAGAGGGCACCCTAAGGGGCCCTGAGCCCAGCCAAGAGTTCCGGCCTCTGGGCAGTGTCGGTCTCAGAAGGGGGCGCGGCGTGGGCGCTGCGGCGAGAGGGGCTCAGGGTCGGAAAATGCTCCCCAAAGGGGACCGCGCGCGAGAGGCAGGGATCTAGGCGGCGCGAGCGGGCGGCGGCGCTTACCCATAGCTGAGCAGTTGACGTCCCGGTTGGAACTGCCCGGGCCCACTTCGAAGACCCAGGTGCCCAGCAGGTCAGGATAGGTGCAATTGGCAGGTGTGTCGCAGAGAACCATGCCCACGCCGGCGAGGAGCAGCAGAAGGGCGGCTAGCAACAAGCGGGGCCAGGGACCCATGTTGGCGGCGGCCGAGAAAGGCTGCAGAAAATGCGCCAGGAGCTGGAGAGCTGAGGGTGCAAAGCGAAGAGGTCCGGACCGCGCGCGCTTTAAAAAGCCAGCGGGCCCGGAAACCCCGCGGGCCGGCGGGGCGGGGTCACTGCGGCTGCTGGGGTGGGCGGCTGGGCGCGGCCCGGCTCTCAGATGGAGGTCCAGAGCGCGCACCTTTCACCTGGTGGCGGCCTGACCCTAAAGCTTAGGAGAAGTCAGGGGCAGTTTGTATCGGCAAGAGACGTCTCAAATTTTTTCATGCTCAGGGCATGAAATAGAAGCGAAATAGAACTTAAGAGCCACAAGCGGCCACGATAGACCCAGACTTTGCTCTTTGGTAAGTAACGCACAGAAGACAGGAAGGTAAAGAGGAAGAAAAACAAAGGGCGGGGGGTGGGGAGCGGGGGAGGAGGAGACTTAACAAGTGGTTCTCTCTTTTACTTGCCTTTCTTCTCCCTGTTCCTCCTCCTCTCGGGTCCAGTTGCCTCATTGCTGAGTCTATTGATTTTTTTTTTTTTTTTCTGAAAAATTGAACTTGCTCTCCCCAGCCACTCAAACTGTTTGAGAACTGCCCTTACGGCTGTTTTCCAAAACTTTCACTATCTTTGTTTTGTTTTGTTTCCGGTTAATGCTTGCACACATTGCACATAGGAGAATTCAGTTGTAGTGTAAATTTGGAGTTTTTTTGTACATCCCAACTACATTAGTTGGGTTTCTTTTTTCCCTGCAAAGTTTATAGGCTTTAGTTACACAACAAAAAAATTAAAAAGATCTCAGAGAGATTATGTTACTCAACCCCTTCTCGTTTTACAGATGAAAAGCAGGGGGTCAGAGAGGGGAAGTAACTTGCATGGGTGAAAGGGAGCTGATAGGAGAAGGCTGGTCTTGTGATCCAGTTCCAGTGTGCCAGTCTGATTGTCAACAATTATTAGGTAGCACCATTTCCAGGTGTCTCCTTGCTCAGTTTCAATATCACCTTTTCTGTGAACGCTTCTCTGACTTGTCTGGCTGTTGTTAGTAATTGGGGCTCCTTTCTCCCACAGAGCTTCCTAAGTGTCAGTCCCTGTGCAGGATCAAGGATGCAGTGATGGGCAAGAGAGCCTCACTGTGTTGTATCCCTGCCCTCTTGGGCGCACGCATTTTGCAGTCATAACACTAGTTACAAATAAGTATTTGTGTGTCCACTGTTTCCAACAGATTTTAAGCTTTCAAAAGGAACAAGCACACATTACTCACCTTTGCCTTCCTTGATTTTGTCTTGACAACACTCAGGAAGTGTGCTTGAGTGTTAAAATAAGTGCACTTAGTGTTCTTATCTAGGTTTCTAAGCCTGAAAGCCAATTTCAATTTGGCAGGGAGAGTTGCCTTTGAAAGCACAGAATGGAAAATGTTCCCTAATGTGAACACAGAAACTGCAGAGGTAAGGATGGGGCCAACACCCTGCTTCTAGGTTTAATAGCCCTGCTTTACTTAGATTAAAAGTTGATGTCATATAATTAACTTACTATTTAAAGAGACACACTGATGGCGTAACCTTGCCTTCCTGAGTCCTTGGAAAAGTGTGTCATCGGTTGTTAAAACATTGAAACTTTTACTAGGTCATCAGTATTGAAAAGCTGAACAGCTAGGTTGGAAATGTCTTTAATGGGCATAACCAAAAGAGCACACTTAATTGTGAAGAAAGTTTAAAACTACCTTTATCAATGAATGATAAATAGAAGGGGATCTTGGAGATCTCTTAATCTATTGGATTTATTTTAATATTGGGAAATAGAGATCCAGAGAGATGAGTGACTTGCTGAATGTCCCATTGCCAGTTAGTTAGATTCAGGAGAAAACTTCAGATACCTTGGTTTTCTGTTTAGTTTATTTCCACTCATTCTATAATTCTCAAACTATTCTTCTTCAAAATAAAATAACAGCCCTCTTTCCATTAGCAGGGGAAAAAACTGTTTTTGTATGGCTTAATGATTCTCAATCTGATCAGACTCAAAGTTTTATTTCTATAAAATTCTATAGAAACGCTTTACTATTCTGAAATGAAATTCATATATATAACATAAGCTACTTACACACTTAATAAAAAATAAAATGAATTCTAATGCCAAATGTAACATAAAGGAAATGTTTAATAAATGTCTAATGCAATAACACATACTGTGTTGTGTAAGATGCTCAGGTATGAATGTACTGGAAAACGTAATGAGACATTCAGATGCTTATTCTTCACACCTCTACGTAAAATTGTAGGATCACTGTGAATGAGACAACTACAAGTGCAGACTGATTTCAGGTGAGTGATAACTAAAATACCTTATCAAATGGTCACCCAAACACCATAGCAAGGTTATTGATGGTGAATAATTCTTGTTAAGTTCCCAGCAGGACAAAGTACAGTCTTTTGCTGATTTATATGAAGGTTGCATTCCTGGAAATTCAATATATGTTAAAATGATACGAAATAAAAGACTCTGGGTTTATATGCAAAAGAGTTTGGTGCTAGGCTCAGATAATTATAAACAGGCTTACAAGGAGATGTGGCTTAACAGTGGTTCTCAAAGTGTGTTCTGGGACCAGCAGGACCAGTAGTATTAGCATCATCTTGGAATTTATTAAAAATACAAATTCCTGAGCCCCACCTCAAAGCTACTGAATCAGAATTTTGTCTGGGTGGGGTCCAGCAATCTGTGTTGTTAACAATCCCTTTTCAGGGGATCCTGATACAAGCTTAAATCTGAGCATCACAGGCTTAGAGATTAACAGCAAGAACTCGAATCAGACTTCCCCAGTTTGAAGCCTGGCTCTTCCACTCACCAGCTACTTTGTCTTGAGCAAGTTAAGTCACTTTTTTTCATTCCTTGGTTTTCTCATCTATAAAATGTATATAATTATATCCCCTATGACTACCTTATATGGTTTTGAGAAGGCTAAATGAATTAATACAGATTTCTGTGGAGCTCTGACTATATTATCACTATGTATATTTCTATTAGAAAACTTTTCGTTATTAATTGGACAGTAGGTTCCAAGAGGAAGGGGTTATGTCTATCCTGATCTCCATTGTAAACCTAAGACCTTGAATAATTCCAGGCACTTAATAGGTGCTCAAATATTTGTTGAATGAATAAATAATATCCTGGACATACACATATCTACATTTTAGGGTATTTGGCAAAGAGCATCATGATGCTGCCTCCTGAATGAGTTTGAAAAACACTCCACTGCAACGCATACAAAAACAAAGAAAGATCATAGAAATAGAGAAAGAACTTGATATATCAATGTTGTAGAATGCTATTTGGTGTTGGGTACATCTCTGGCCCACCACCCATCTGTTAGTTTGTCATACTGTGGTGGCTTGCGTGTTGCTATGATGCTGGAAGCTATGCCACCAGTATTTCAATTATTAGCAGGGTATTCCATGGCAGACAAGTATCATTGGAGCTTCCTGACTAAAACAGACTAAGAAGAAAGGCCTGGTGATCTACCTCTGAAAATTAGCCAATGAAAACCCTGTGGATCACAACAAAATATTGTTTGATTATAGTGCTAGAAGATGAGCCCCCTAAGTTGGATGGCACTGCACAATGGTGGTAAAAATGGACTCAGACATACTCAGGATCAAGAAGATGATGGAGGGCTGGGCAGCATTTCTTTTGTTATACATAAGGTCTCCATAAGTCAGAGATGAGTTGACGGCAATTGACAACAACAGCATGCTGCTGGCATTGGTACTAACAATAATAACAATAATTTTATTTGTTTAAGATTTTACATTTTACCAATAGAATTCACATATATTATCAAGTTATGAGGATGCCAGCAAACTTCTGTTTATATGGAGTATATCTGGACCTAGTTACCCTATTAGAAGTAAAAGTGAAATATTTATAAAACACCTAATTACCATAATTATATGAGGAAGATGTTACTTTGTTTCTATTTTATCCCTGACAAAACTGAGGCTCAGAAAATTTATTAGGAGAAAATACCTATGAAAGAGAACGGAGAGCGGGAACAGGGATGGAAAGGGGGCCATGCAGGTCTGACCCCTGTGAAAGGAAGAAAGACTAAGACAGTGGTACATCTCTAAGAAGATATGGTGCAAAGTTTGCCTGTAGTGGGACTTAGCTTGGGTATAAATGTCCTGGCCCTAGTACCCTTGTTGTGCTTAGTCACTGACCTCAGATGGAAAATGACGTAGATCCTGAAGTCACAGCAACTGGGGGCTGTCAGCAAACTGTACTCCTAGGCAGGTTCTCTCTTAAAGAGAGATGGGAGCAGTGTACCTCCATGGAAGCCACCATGGGAAAACGTCTATTAGAAATTAGAGGTTGATCTTTCAAGAGAACATAAAATAGGAAGGTTTAAGCACAACCTATTTTTTCCATCTACTTCTTTTGACTTTATCACAATTGGAGAGTTATAGACAAAAATCCAGGGTCTTACTACTCTTAGACTTTGTCTAATACAGCTATTCATTTTCAAAGTAGACTATAATTTGGGTACTATATGGACTTTTCAGGATGTCAGTAATCAGTAATTATTTTGCTGCAAGTTGTCACTCAAGATCTGTTCTTTTTGCTTAAGCTCATCGAAGAAAAATTTGAAAAACAAACAGCTAAACCTAAGATTCTGTTTTAGCTAAATTTGAGGAAGAATTTGCTAGATGGTCACAAAGTACTTTTCAACAGATGTGTTGGTGGATCACAGGCAGACCTTAGAGATAGGTGACCTCTGGTTTGCTTTACTGGGCTCCCCTAGGAGTTCCTGCCTTTCCTTTGGGCAAAGCGTTAGGTACTAGAAAAGAAGAAGAAGAAGAAGAAAAGTTATTAGAGGTTGATCTACAAGCATAGAAAGAAGACTGGATCATTTGTTCAGGCCTTGTGATATCCCAAGTGCTATACTCTGTTTCTGTCCTTCTGGTCTCCTAGGCAGAGGTCACAACTCTTTTTCATGTGGTCTGGTGTCCCTGTGTTCACAATTCATTGTAATTATTTTATTGACTGCCATTTCCACAGGCTCCATGCTTCTTGAAGCAGGATTGTGCATTATTTTGTACCTCAAGGTTTATCCCAGGCTCCGACTAATCGTCACTCACTCATCCTCTCAGTAAAGTTTATGGAGGAAAGGAGTGAAAGTGGGAAGAAAAGCAGGAAGGAAGGACAGAGTGAGTTTTCTGTGCATGAAAACTCAACTGATTAGAGCTTAGCGTTGTTGTTATTAGTTACCATTGAGTTGATCGCAACTCATGGTGACACCATAGTTACAGAGCAGAACCGCTCCATAGAGTTTTCTTGGCTATAATCTCAATAGAAGCTGATCAACAGTTCTATCTTCTGCTATACCACTAGGTGGACCAGCAATTGAGTGCCAGTGTTTGTGCCACCTAGGGCATTATGGTGGACAAAATCACTGGATCACCTGATTAGTAATGAAAAGCCCAGATTGATTACATGATACCAAAATTTCTCAACGTTTTTGATCTTAGGACCCCTTTACATTCTTTAAGAGTTATGAGGATGCCAGCAAACTTTTGTTTATATGGACATGTATCTGGCCCCATTTACCCTATTAGAAGTAAAAGTGAAATGTTTATAAAACACCTAACAGTAACAATAAAAAAAGCTATATTTAAAAAAATGTAATGAGAAAGAGCAACGTTCTTTTACAGTGTTGCAAATCTTTAAAGTCTTGCTTAATAGAAGACTGTTGTTTATCTGTTTCCACCATCCATCTGTTGTGATATGTTGTTTTGGTTGAAGAATATAAAGAAAACTCAGCATTATACATATGTATGTTATACATATTTATTGAGTAGATTCTGACTCATAGTGACCCCATGTGAAGAGTAGAACTGCTTCAGAGGGTTTTCTTGACTGTAATCTTTACAGAAGCAGATTGCCAGGTCTTTCTCCTGCAGAGCTGCTGGTTGGCTTTGAACAGCCAGCCTTTCAGTTAGCAGCCAAGCTTAACCATTTGTGCCATCAGGGCTGCTATATTATATAGATAAGTAGTTGAAAAAGGAAGAACTTTATGGTTCTTTGTGGATTCCTGAAAGTACCTTGGGGACCCCCATAGATCCTTGGACCATACTAAGATAATCTTTTTAGTGGAATAATTTTTCATCCTGAGATTATTTCACATACAGCTGTCTCAGAAATGTTTGCCCTTATTCACAAGATGAACAGGCAGGAGCAGAGAGTGTGGTTAGATGACCACAAGCCATTCCAAGAATGGAAAAACCAACCAAAGTACATTCCCTACTAATTGTAGGTCACTAATGTCATCTTCATATATCAGGGTGGAAATATTCTAGGTTTACACAGTTAATATATGAAAAATAGGAAGACAGACTTGATTTTAATGGAATCAGAATTTATGAATTTAGGAAAATAATAATTATGCTTTATATTTAAATAGCTTATGGTCATTTGCACAGTACCTTCACATATCATGTCATTCTGATAGTAACCCCAGATATTATTACTCCCATTTTATAGATAAGAAAACTGAGGTTCAAAAGGATAAGTGGCATTCCCATGGTCATTTCTAGTGAGTGCAGATATGATAACCAAGGACAGACTTCTGGTTTTAAATTAGATTGTTAGACTGGGATCAAAGTGAAGCTTTGTCTAATTGATACAATCAAATCAAAAACTAACAGAATAAGTTGTTACAAGTGAACTGCACAGAAGATGCTTGTTGAGGCAGCTGTGGATCTCTCAATTACTGAAATAATCTCTGCTCTTTGAGCCCATCCTCACCTCACTATTTCCCCCTGTAAAATAAACCAAGTGTTTTTTAAAAGTTTTGTCTGCTAGGACAGAATTATCCCATAGGTCACACAGGGTAAGAAGTTGATACCCCAAGCAACTCTAAGGAGTCAACAAACTTTATGAGCATATCCACTTGGCTCCCTTTCCACCGACATCACTGTGGTCCGTACACCATCATTTCTTGCTGGACTACAGCAGTTAACTTCTAATTTCATCCATTTTTTCTTGAATTCAAACACAAGCCCCTAAGTATCATCCTTAATTTTCTTTTCTTCCCTTTCCCTCACCAGGTACCCACCCCCCCATCCCTCACCTTATCAGTCAACGTGTCCCTACAGGGTATACCCTTACCAATGTGATTTTTTTACTTTAAATATAAATCAGATGAAGTTACTCCTTTGTTTAATACTCCCTGCTAGGTTACCTTTTTATCATCTTTGAATAAAATCCTAAAGGCCGTGCATGATTTGCCCCATTTATCCCTTCATTCTCCTAATTGCTCATTGTTCCAGAAACTCTTGCCTTCTGATTGATTCTCAAACCCTCTAGACTCCTACCCTTGTCATGACCTTTGCACTTTACTACCCTCTGTACCTGGAATAATTTACCCAACTTTTCACATGACTGCACATTCTCACTGTTTATGACATTCTCCCTGATATTTTACCTCCTTAGAAAGACTTCCCTAACCATGCTATTTAAAGTGGCCTTCTCTAGCTATCCAAGGGGCCCTGGTGATTATAGCCCTCAGCTTCTAACCACAAAAGTCAGTGGTTCAAACCCACCAGCCGCTCTGAGGGAGAAAGATGTGGCACTCTGATTCCGTAAAGATTTACAGCTTTAGAAACCCTGTGGGCAGTTCTACTCTGTCTATAGGGTCGCTATGAGTCAGAATCGGCTCAACAGCAGTGGAATTGGTTTTTTGGTTTCTCTGACTATCTAATTTTATCACCCTGTTTATTTCTATATAGTGCTTAAAACCACTGTTATTATTGCATTTTCTTATTTACTGTGTATCTGCCCCATTGGAACGTGAACTTCCTGAGGCATAGACCTTGTGTGTCTTATTTACCACTATATCCCCAGCACATAATAAGTGCTCAGTAAATATTTTGATGGAAATGACTTATTTTCCAGCTTAAAGAATCAGGTTTATTGGAAGCAAATTCTTTCTGGGCAACATTTGTGTTCCTCAATAATAAATTTTGCATTTCTCATCTCATCCTATTCAATTTTAGAGATAATTCAAATAATATAAGGGACTAACTTGTGAGTCCAAGTTAGATCTCGGATTTTAAGTTAATATACTTGTGTGGATTACTTTGGAAGATCTAGTAGTCAGCCCTAGAATACTTCATAAACATTTGACTTGCTGTCCTGAAGTCAAGTGATAAACACGTGATGGGCAACAGGAAGGCTAAACCATGTCTCAGCATTTTATTTTCAAGGCTTTGCAGTTTAAGTTGACTTCGCTCATATTATTGCTGAGAGGAAAGCACACAGCCAGACAAGGTGATTTCTGAAACAATACAACTGTAGAGGGCTCTGGCATGAAGAGAGCAAAGCCAGATAAGCAGCTGTCTTTAAGGGTGACTGGTTTAAAGATGAAGACTATCAGTTTCTCCAAGTTGAGAATGTTCATTCCTTTTCCAGGAATCAGATACCTTACCCATGTAGTGATATGGGAACATTTAAAATATTTCATTTGCATAATAAGTTGTAAAGATGAAATTTATTTATGCATCCCTTCTGTTCTTTAAATAACACTTTAGTGCCTCAGACATTAAGTAAAGTCAGTAAGTACAGATACAATAAGGAAATAGAAATCCAAGGAAAGAAGTCCTCAGTTCATATCAGTATTTTCTTTTGTGCCTACCCCCTTCTTATGCTTGTTCCTTCTATGTAAATGCATTTATATGTTAATTATGTGATGAGATATAATATTCTATAAATTTTACCTAACGTGACACCAAGTATATTTTGTCATTGTGCTACTTTTTTTTTCCCTAGCTCCTCATTCCCCTTTTCCTTTCCCATCCAAATGAAGGTAGAAGAATGTCTTTGGAAGAAAGTAAATTCAACTGGGGACATGTGTTTAAAGTACTTGTGGGATATCAAAGTGAAGATGTCTAATACTCAGCTGGAAATACCACTGTAGGACTCAGAGGAGGGGTCATTCGGTCATTCAGCAGATATTGGGCACCTACTATGTTTCACCATAGGCCGGCAATGAAAACACCTGCAAGCTGTGCAGGCTTCCTTAGTTATTGACTGAATACAGTTTTTACTTTTCATTGCCAAATAAGTAAGAGTTGAAATCATAGTAGAGAAGATTGCCCAAAGTAAATGCACAGAATTCAGGGAAAAAATGGGAGTGGGGAACTTAACAAGCACCAAAATTTAAGGGACAAGCTAAGGAAAAGGAGTTCCTGAAGGAAAAATTAAGAGTATGAGAACAAGAACCAAGAGATAGTGATATTGATGACAGCAAGCAAGGGGGAATTTTGAGTCTAAGATTGAAATAATTGAATTTTTGCTTCAATCTTCCCTAATAGTGGCTAACTCTGGCTTGCATTTGCAGGACCACCTGCCAAACTGGTGTCCCATTTCTCAGGCCCGAGCAAAGACTCTCAGCAGTCTGAGAAACTGATCAGAAACCTGAAGCTGACAGCCACCAAAGCCTCCAGAGAGCTGAGGGCAACCTGAAACTGCAGAATGGTCACTTGTGAAGATCCTGATGGTCCTGCAGAGGAGGACGGGTCAGTTTGTTGAGCAGAACATATACCATCATACCACAATGCGGCACATCCTAAGAGGCATTTTAAAAAATAAATTTCTGATATCAACTTGTTAAAATTTGCCTCTCTTAAAAGGGTACAGAAACATTGCCACAGTTTGAACATTCTAGTTGCCTACAACCTGAATAAATTAGGATTTTACTGTGCCAATTTCTGACTCTCGTTATTGATTTTTTTTCTTTGAAAAACTTATGAAAGTTGTAGGCAAAAGACCTGTTGGAAATAATTGCAAAAATTAATGAAAAAATTATCTGCTCATGGTTAACATGAAACATCTAAAAATCAAAACAAAAAGTATGATTTCATTTCTTATCTATCACATGCATGTGATATTAATGATATTGTTTGATAATTTCTACATTCTGTTAGATGGCCTTCCTTTGGAATGGACAAGATCATGAATCTCTAACAGTTGGTGGACCAGGTAGCTGTCTTCCAGATTTCTAGACATAGATGATTAAGCACTTCCAGCAGTGTATCCATTTGCTGAAGCATCTCAACTGGTATTCCGTTAATTCCTGGAGCCTTTTTCTCACCAATGCCTTCAGTGTAGCTTGAACTTCCTCCTTCAGCACAGGTGGTTCTCAGTCACATGCTACCTCCTGAAATGGTTAAATGTCAACCAGTTCTTTTTGGTACAGTGACCGTGTATTCCTTCCATCTTTTTTTGATGCTTTCTGATAAATGAAGGAAAAAATCAAAGTGTCAGTGATTTCATTCCACCTGGGTCAACAGCAATCAAGAAATCAAACAACATACTGCATTGGGCAAATCTGCTTCAAAAGACCTCTTTAAACTTTTAAAAAGCCAAGATGTCACTTTTATGACTGCGGTGAACCTGACCTAACCCATGGTCTTTTCAGTCGTTTGCATGTGCGTCTAAAACTTGGGGAATGAAAAAGGAAGACAGAATAAAAACTTATGCATTCAAATTATGATGTTGTTGAAGAATATTGAATATTCTGTGGACTTCCAGGAGAACAAACAAATAAGTTTTGGAGGCCATACAGCCAAAGTGCTCCTTAGAAACAAGGATGAGGAGACTTCGGCTTGCTTACTTTGGACACATCATCAGGAAAGACCATTTGCTAGAAAAGGACATTATGTTTGTAGTGGGTCAGCAAAAACAAGGGAAACTCTCAATGAGATGAATTGACACAATAACCACAATAATGGACTCAAACATACCAATGGTCATGAAGGTGGCACAGAACTGGGCAATGTTTTGTTCTGTTATACCTAAAGTTGCCATGTGTCAGATCTGACTTGATAGAAACTAACAATAAAAACAATTGGGACACCAGCCCCACCTCTCCTCCTGAGAGAGAAATTGTCTTTACTGTCCTGGTCAGGAAACAAATCTGTCCTCTGGCCCTTACCTACCTACTTACAAGTTATCATTGAGTCAATTTGAACTCATGGTAATAACCCCATGTGTGTTAGGGTAGAACTGTGCACCACAGAGTTTTCAGTGGCTGATTGTTTGGAAGTAGATCACTAGGCTTTTCTTCTGAGGTGCCTCTGGGTAGACTCAAACTTATAGCCTTTTAGTTAGCAGCTGAGTGCTTTAACCCTTTACACCATCCAGGAACTCCCCTCTGGCCCTTAAAAAAAACAAACCAAACCTGTTGCTGTCAAGTCCATTCCAACTCATAGCAGCCTCTGGCTCTCAGGGATACACTGTATCTAGCTTCTAAGATTTTTGCTTTGCAAACATCCATGGAATGATAGTCCAGCACAAGATGTATAGAAATGCCATGGAGAGTTGTCTCCCCAGAACTTCTCTTTTTATTATCTTTTCATTATTGTTACTAATAATTCTTAATATTTTTATAAGGGTTTCTATAACAAGAACATGAAATTCATAGTTGTGTGAGAAATGAAAAGCTGGCTACACAGTGACTCAGACTTTTTCCCCCCACATAATTGTTAGCCAGTCACCTGGATTCTAGGGAGATTTCTTATACTAATTAAATATAATAGTTTCTCTAGGCTCCAGTTTCTGTTCAATGGCAGCTCAAGACTAGACACTATTTAAGCTCCATTCTGCTTTAAATTTAATTATTCTGTATCTAGGGGTAAAAAACAAAAACAAATTCAAATTACTTTATTTGAACAAACTTGTCCAGTTAAAATATTAACCACATATAGTCAAACATAAGAAGTTAAAATGAGCCAGTACATTATTTGTATTCAGAAAGACATTTATTAAGTATATTCCAGTGTAAAACTCAAGGAGTTTAATTCTATGCACAGAGTATCTCAGGAACAGAAACAGAGCTGTGGTTTTGGAGAAAGGTGTTTACAAGATGTGATCAATAAAGATTACTGGAAACTTAAACAGGTAAGAACAGGAAAGGAAACTAGAAGTTTAAGTAACTTAGTTTCTCTATTTGGACACAATATGATGATATCAATGTAGTAAGATTATATTAAAAATACAGTCTCACAGTTACATTGTGGAATGAAATTAGTGTAAGAAGACCTAGCTTTGAGAGCCACTTACTAAATCTATAATCTTGGGGAATTCCTCTGAGGTTTAGATATTCTCATATAGAAAACAAAGAGTTCTAACCTCAAAGAGCAGCTGTTAGGATGGCGTGATGATATATGTAAAAGTGCTTCTGAAACTGTAAGATTTGTAATAAAAATATAAATGCTAATTACTACTAATCTGGGTGGTAATGACTTTAATATGAAGAATGATATGATAAATGCTGTGAGTTATAAATACAGTAGGAAGAGAGCCTGAAAGAGGAAACCAGTAATTCCTATAAAGGTAAGGAAGGGATCTGAATCAGAGGAGGTGAGGCATGATCTGGTCCTTGATAGACATATAGAAGCTCACAGGTTTTATTTGAATGAGAGTGTGTGTGTCATACATAGGGTGCTATACAAAAAAACAAACAAACCCATTGCCATAGAGTCGATTCCAACTCATAGGGACCCTATAGGGCAGAGTAGAACTGCCCCATGGGGTTTCCAAGGAGCAGCTAGTGGATTTGAACTGCGTAGCTCTTAACCACTGCGCTACCAGGGCTCCAGGGTGCCATAGGCAGAGGAAAACATTAGGCAAAGAGGCACGAAAGTTCCAATTTTGTTTGTAAAAATTTCACTGTGACCAGAAAACAAAGTTTAGCTTGATGGTAGCAGTTTCCCTAATATTTTATCACTGGTGTCAGAAATTTCACTTTTAGGATTTATTCCTTTCACTAAGAAAGCCTTCTCTATTATGCCAACTATGCTTGATCATTCCTTCTTCTGTAACTGCTTTACAATGTATCTGTTTCCACCACTATACTGATGGCCTGGTGCATTTAATTCATTTGTCTGTCTCCAAGAGCATGCTCCTAGTGAGTGGACATGGTGTATGTGTGTGTATGCACACATGCAAATGCACACATGTGCAGCATACGTGCACTGTGCTAGTATTATGCCGGCTTGAAATAGGGTTCAACAAATGTTTATTGAATTGCCCCTGTTTAAAACACCTGTGAGAACTATAACAAAATAAGCCTTAGTCATGACCTCACCAATAAAATTTTAAAAACCACTTCTAACTTCACAGTTGAATATCAGTATTTTTTCCACACGCCCCTTAGCTATACTAGAAAAAGCAGGGAAAAAGGATTCTGATTTGGATAAAGCCCAGAGAGAACATCATAGTAGGAAAGCCCTGGGTCCTCAACTGTGGGAGGTTTCAAAACCAGAGAAATAAAGAAGGGGAAATGGAGCAGTATAAACAGCCTTGGACGTCTTCATTTTTTTCCCTCAAGAACCTGCCCCATCTGCGTTCAAGAAACTTACAGTTCTTTTGAGAAGAAAAGAGTGACATGAAAAATAGAAAACAATGAAGAACTGTATGTCCAGGTTTTCCAAATACGCATCATATGAAGCTGTTTTATGGGATGTAGGGAGCAAAATGCATCGAAAATACATGCAGGTACGTAACATGTCTCATATTCATATTTATCATCCTTTTTCATATGTATATATTAATAGATACTGTCGTGATTAATAAAATACAATTTACATAACAATGTCTAGAAATATTTGGTCAAAATATATGTCCTTCAGTTCCGGCAAAATGGCGCTCTAGGCAGAAGCACCATGCTGTCCCTCCACAGCAAAGATCCAAAAAACTAAGCCGAACAGAGAATGCAACAATCCTGAAAACCTAAAACATCAAATGAAAAGATAAAGAACTCAGCCAAGCACCAAATGGAGTGAGAAAACTTACAGAGAATGGAGAGCGAGGAGAGATTCATGCAGAGGTCCCCTACCAGCTAACGCAGTGTGGATCCGCCATCTTGGACTCCTATCGGAGACCAGCAAACAGGGTAGGAGAAAGCAGCCTCACGGAGCGTC